AGCCCAAGGCACCCCTGCTGCAGGGCCATGACTGCCATGGGGCTGGGGGTGATCCCGCAGGGTTCGCCTGGCACCCCGGGACAGGGCTGTGCCCCTTGCTCCTGCGGTGCATTGGCCCGGTTGTGCAGGGACAGCGGGATGGGGCACGTCTCACCCCAGAAGAGCAATAAGGAGGTTGGTTTCAGGGTTTTGCCACTTGGCAACAAGCCGGAGTGCTCCCGGTGAAGTGGGGTTGGAGGGTCCTGGCCTCCGGGGCCAGTGGGCACAGGAGGTGCTGGAGGGGATCCTGCTGTAATCCTGTACCGTGAGCTGCTCCCCATGGGAACCGTGACCCAGGCCACTTCGGCCCTCGCAGTATCAATAGGACGTCGGAGGTCGCAGCCCTCCTCCTGGCAGAGGTGGGAGCCCTCCCCACCGCCGGGCTGCCCTCGGGGCGGGGGGGGAGGCTGGGGTGGGGGACGCGGTGCCCAGCTTGGTGGGCACGACAGAGCGTTCGGCTGCACATCTCCTAAGGAGGAAAGCGACTGAGGAGCTGCTCTCTGCTCCTGGTTTGTATTTAATAGTGGGGAGAGGAGAAGGAGGGGGGGTGTTTACACTAATAAAACAGAGAAAAGAACCAGTGGGTCTGGCTGATTCTTCCCTGGGGCACCTCTGGGCATCCTGCTGGGGGTCTGTGTGGGGGTAGGTGCTGGATGCTTGTACAAAACCTGACTGCAGCAGGCTGGAGCGCTTCCTCGCAGGCATGCTGCTTTCCCCGAGCTACCTGCAGCATCCTCTGCCTGAGCTGGGAGACGACTGCCTCTCCTTAGCCAGGGCAGGGCAAGCCCATTGGCTTAGGGATGGGCACACAGGTGACGGGCTGAGCAGGTGCTTGGAAATACCAGCTTGAACCCCAGGGGCTTGCAGCAGGAGATCTGCACCTCCCCTGGGGCCATCCTGCTGTCACCAGCTGCTGCCAGGTGCCAGTGGTGCAGCAGGATGCTCAGCCTCTTGCCATGGGAAGCCCCGGTGCCTGCATGCAGCGTGCTGAGCTCTGGGCAGTACCATCAATTTGTGGTCTTGCTGACCAGGTTTCCAGCTCTCCTCAGCCCCTGCTGCAGGTGGAAAAGCACTGCGGTGAAGGAATGGTGCAGCTACATGTCCTCCCACATGTGTTGTCCCTGTGACAGCCTTTGTGGGCTGTACATGAGTAGCAGGAGACCCCCGGCCCACATCAGAACAGAGGTTGAATGCCCAAGTGGGGTGAGCTCAGCCCTCTGGCATCTGGGATCAGCTCAGAAGGAAACTCCTGGGCCAGAATCATGGAATCGTAGAATGGTTTGGGTTGGAAGGGACCTTAAAGATCATCTAGTTCCAACCCCTTGCTATGAGCAGGGACACCTTCCACTAGATCAGGTTGCTCAAAGCCTTTTCCAAACTGGCCTTGAACACTTCTAGGGATGGGGCATCCACAACTTCTCTGGGCAACCTGTTCCAGTGTCTCACCACCCTCAATGTAAAAAATTTCTTCCTTTTATCTAAACAAAATCTCTCATTTTTCAATTTAAAGGCTTTGCCCGTTGTTCTATCACTATACGCCCTCGTAAAAAGTCCCTCTCTAGCTTTCTTGTAGGCCCCCTTTACGTACTGGAAGGCTGCTGGAAGGTCTCCCCAAAACCACATCCGTGGCCTGTGTTGAATCATTAGGGCTCAACCTGCCCTTTCTGCACCGGTTTCACCCTTTTTTTGGTTGTTTTGCATCTTGTGGTTTCTCAGCATCTTGTGGTTTCCAGTTCCCTACTGCCACGGTGCTGGGTTGGGCAGAGCACCATGGTCCTGCCCCAGACTGTCTCACCACCTGCGGAAACTATTTGTGTTATGAGAAGTGGGGACCCTGTCCCCTGCCCATGCTGCGTGAATCCAGGCATGATTCCATGGCTCCACGTGCTCTTCCCACCAGCCCTTTGGTCATCACGTTTTGCTTGTTCACAAAATACCCGTATAAGAGACATCCACAGAAAATTGACTGAACCTACTCGGTGTTAGTACCCAGTGAAACTCATGGAAAGCCCCTGGGCTGTGTGACATGCCTTCTCCAAAGGAAGGTGCCTCATTTATACGTTCCTCTCCAGTCTTCATACCCACAGTGTAGGAGTGTATATGTTTAAATATAATTTGATTATATTTCGGATGATAACCGTTCACTTGCTCCGAGTATTTCTATTTTTGATCCTCCCTGAGCACATCCTTAATTCCCTTTAAACGTGAATCTGGGACAGAGGGAGCGAGACGGATGCAGGTGTGTTACAGATACATTTCTCCTCTGAAAAGCAGACCTGGGAGTCAGATGGGATTAGGCTTTAGAAGAGTATCCAAACGGTAATAAAGCTAAGCAGTTTCAAATCAAGTTGGCTGCAAAAAGAACTCCTGAATTGTCATTTAATTGTTGCAAGATAGTCTAGATAGAGCTACTCTTGTGTCATCTTTGCTGTTTGCCCAGACGGAGTTGGAGCTATTTGCATACCTAACGCTCCCCACTATCAACGCTGACGAAGCCCCCCCTGCTCCAACATCCATCTGAGCAAGTGACAGCGCTTGCGGCACTCCCAGCACGGTTGTTGCTCCCTTTTAAGAGGGAGCTGGCAATGTTTGGAGACGCTTTGGTATGCGCCAGTTTATTTGCAGCATCAAAACATGCCGAAACCCTGTGGAAGGATGCGCAAAGTGTTGGGAAGGAGTTTGACCCGCTTGGCCTAGGACCTGAGCAGCCTTCAATGGCAGAGACCTGTGACAATGGGGATGTGGTACGGCCACGTTCTGCCCCTCTCCTGCCCACGCAGGGCTGGCAGGTGCAGGCAGGGCACCGGACCAGGATGGTGACACCCCTGAAAGAAGCAGGGAGGGGCAGCCCCAGGTGCTGACACGGTGACTGAGCAGTCAGGGACTTTCTGCAATCCCTGTTCGGGTTTGACCTGTGCCTCCATGCGACGTGTGGGTTTTTTGCACGGAGGCGGTTGCAGAGGCAGAGTAGTGAAATGGCAGTTTTCCCAACGGGACAGGAGAAAACGCGTGTCTGCTGCCCATAGACAAAAACCTGCTTCCCCTGAGAAAATTTTCTGGAAGCATTACTGGCTCACCATGGCCTTCGAAAAGAGCAACTCAAGTTCCTTTTGGGCAGTTTTTTGCAAGAGGGCGTGAAGGACTGGCCCAGGGCAAAGGACCCTGCAGCACGCAGCACGAGGGGGGCCGATGGGTGTAGCAGGGCTGGGTGGGTGCCTCCACCCCCCCTCCCACTTCTGCACTGTGGCAAGAAGGGGGGCTCAAACCAGGAAAAACCCAAGCTGCTGCTCTGCTGTTCTGCCTCTACTCTGAATTTGTTCCCCCATGCAGTCATGCAGGCACCTCTCTGCAAATACAGCCATGAGCCCACGAGCGGGGAAGGCAAAAACCTGCTTCTCTGTCCCTGCTTGGCTCACTTCTGGCTGCGCTGAACCCTGCGGCAGCGTCGCTTCAGCCCCAGCAGTGTCCATCAGCTCGATTGCTGACCTTTGGGAGGATGTAGGGAATGAGGCGGTGCCAGGAGAGGGCTGGGGAAGCGCAGTACCCATTCATCTCTGTGTTTTGTTGGGAAGAAGCAAGCGGTGCCTCACTGCCTGTCCTGCAGGAGCGGCTCTGCCAGCCACGGAGCAGGAACCGACTTTGGCAAACGTTTCCTCCTGGCCACAAGCGAAGGCAGGAGAAGCTGCGCTGCTTAAGGAAGGGGCAGGCAGGGGATGCCAGGCTTTGCCTGGACTCAACACCCGGGGTGAGTCACAGCCCAATGCGCTGCCAAGCCCCTCCAGAGGGTGTGGGGAGCAGGGGGCTTTGTCCAGGGGCGTTTCTGGCCAGATTTGTGGAAATCAGAGCCTTTTGATGAAGGGAACAGCCCTCAGCTGTAAGTGCAGATAGGGCTGCTGCCGGTGCGTGCCTGCTGGTGGGGGTTTCCCACCCTGGGAGTGTCAGCACACTCAGCTACGCCCCGGGAAGTATCCTCTGGGGACACACGGCCCCAGCACAGGCAGACTGCAGGAGCCCGAAGCACCAGGGTTTGGGGGAGAGCAAGGCAGCTCGATTGGATTTTGATTTTAATTGCTTCCTTGTTTTTTCCAGCCTGCTTGCCCACAGTCAGGGGCCAAGCACTGAAAAGTGAGGGCTGTGTGTCCCCTGCCTGGCCCTGCTGACGGTGCCTTTTCCCAGCAAGGAAGTCGTGGTGAAATGGGCAGGAGCAAAGCAGGGAGCTTGGCACGCTCGGGTCATCAGGAGTCACTGAGAGTCCCTCCTTTCTCCAGATGTTGCCTGTCACCACCAGCACCTCTGGGCAGGAGATGATGTGGAGGAGGTGACGGCAGCGAGACCATGTGTCCCCTTGCAGTTCAGGGCTCACTTCCAGCCCCTCCACTCCCAAGCTGGATGGTTTGTTTTCTCTGAAACGCAGCTTTTCCCTGGGAACAGCGATAATTGTGGTGTGTGGTAGTGGAGCACAGTGGGAAGTGTCCAAGGAAGTGCCCGTGCCGTGGGCAGAAGGGGTCCTCGCCGGCTGCTCCGTCCTGGTGCCCCCTCCCTGGGGCCAGCACCGCATCCCCAAGCTTTGGGGCTGGCTGGCAGCACCCCAGACC